GCGAAGACGTACGTGTGTACACACCACGGCACATACCGATCGCAAGCCACAAGCAAGCGGCCGCGTCAGGAGACACGGGCCCAAGGATGCTCAGCACAGGTATGCGATTACTATAGTTTTGGTTTGTAGCGAAATAAACCCAATCTGGCATAATCGGGCTCAGTTGGGATGAATCGTGCATCACCGGTGTAAGCTCAGCCACTAACCGTGTCTGTTTGCATTAGCTTTGTTACTATTATTTCAGCTGAATGTATGCGTTCAAGAGATTAACAAAGCTGAACACACGTTTGTGCTCAAAGTGACGAAGTGCCGGCGGCATGACTGAACATGCATGCGAGTTAATACACGATCAGTATTGCTACGCACTTGATCGTGCATCTTACGCCTTTTCCGAGAGAGCGCCAGGTGTGTACTTTGTGAAGAGTACATCCCCCGATGAAGACGCCCTCGATGAGGTAGACGCAGAGTACACTATTACGACACACGACTGGACTTGCTCGTGTCTCTTTATGAGTACACGTTTATTGCCGTGTCGACACGTCTTCTTTCTTAGAAGAGCACTAAACAAGGAGACTGTTATCCCGACTCAACTGCTGCATCAGCGATGGGTCCTGTCGTCTGTACGGTCGTCGATAGAGTTCGAAAACGCCAGTGATGCTCCTACTTCTGTGGAATCTTTTGCCGTTCGAAGGGTATTGGTGACCGATGAGCGGCCATGGGATTCGAACCGGAAGTACCGAGAAGCCTTGCCTATTGCTAGTGAAATTTGCGATTCGATGGCTGGTTTAGGCATGGTCCAATATCGTGAAGCAATGGCTTATTTAAAGGCCGTCGCCCACCGTTTCAAGGCTGGAGATTTTTCTTCATCGATTAAGATGCCGACAATCAGTGAAGGTACGCGCGACGTTGTCTTCGACTCAGATACCGTGGGCGAGGTTGAAGTGGAAGACCCTGAATTATTACTGCCTGGATTATTACAGCCTTCTACGCAGATTACACCTTAGTCTGGCGAGTCTGGCATCCAGTCTGGAGAGTCTGGTTCGGTGTCGGCCGAGCTTATTTGTCAGACTGGTGCGGAGACTTCAGCTTCTCATGCGACTCTGCAACCGGTCGGAAATGATACATTTGATGTGGCGAGCCCTCCAAGGTCCCGAGGTCGCCCAAAGCAAAGTGCAAAATCCAAGAAAGCAGCTCGCCGCAAAAATGTTTTGATGGTGCAAGATGATTCAAATTTGTACTCGGATAATCTGAGTTTAGCAACCATACAAGACGCCGTACGCATTGAGTCATCATACGAGACATCTGCCGCAATTGTGTCCAAATTTAAGCTGTTCGATTTCACAAAAAATCCCCGAGCTCCAGTTGCCCACAAGGTAGCAAGACTTCCCGCTTCAAAAAAGATCGTCTCTGCTGAGTCCATCCCCCGAATTTTCCGAAAGGATATCCTTGATAGATGCAGTGCCAAAGTGCTAGCTCTTCAGAAGGCACACAAGGAATCAAGTGATCAAAATCTAGGTGAGAAGGACATTGTCGTGGAAATTGTTGGAGTAGGTACCTACTCCACCGAGACTCTGGGTGTCATGAAGAAGTGGCACAAAGCGATGAAAACCATCCAATATGTGGAAAAAGCTATCGTTTGGATTGATACCATCGATTTCGAACTCCAAATGCCCCGATGGTTTTGTGTTGATCTTGATCCTGATACACAATCCAAGATCAAATCTATTCCTTTACTATCGGTGCAGGTACGCAGTTGTATACAGTCAGGCCCCGCAAGGGAAATACTAATATCTACTGCTGTGTAATTGCACATAGGCTGAAGCACTCGAACTCGTCGGCAAGTCTGCGTTAGGCGACAGCACGGTCAATAAGCTGATGTTAAAGTTGTTCGCAGCGAGAGAAGACACGATTGATGTAGACACGTCAATCGCCGGTAACGTCATAAATGGTTTCTTAGCGGTGGAGACTATGAAGGACGTGTTTGCTGGCATGACAAACCAAAAGATTTTGATTCCTGTCATCTGCAACAAGAATCACTGGTGTGCGGTTATGATGGATCTGTCGCTTAAAGAAGTTTTTATCTATGATCCAATGAGCTCAAGCTACGGCGTAAAAGTTCGACCTCTCGCTGAGAAGATGGTAGCATTGCTGCCAGATTTCGCTACAAGAAAATACCGAATTCGACCATACACGAGCGAGCTTGGAGTGCAGGTTGATAGCTACAATTGTGGCATGTATATGCTGTTAGCTTTTGAGATATTTGCCGGTGCTGAAAACCTATATCTGCTAAGTCGGAAGGAGCTACAGTATTTGCGATATCGGTGCCTGTGCATGTGCATTTAATGCAACTAGTTTTTCAATGATTTGGTCTTTTGTTAGTGTGTTTGATGCGTTGACTACCTCCAGGTTATTCCCCCTGCACTTTGTCTTGAGAGTTAGATGCTGAATGTCTTGCGGGTTTCAGTTTCAAAGCCAACACACTGACATCCGGTTATACGTATACTCCGAAGACACGTCAACTGATGAAACGTCCGGCTCTTCCTGAGTCTGGCATATTCGGGCATGCTAATCGGTTGTATTCTGGTGTAATTGTACTGTCTGTTGTTACCCAGTCTGGCTAAATAACGAGTGCCACAAATAATTGATTTACTGCTGCAATAACCAAGGTTTATTGAATCAATAACAGGTATCTACGCTCGAGTTGCTGTGTCAAGTGTTTGTGCGTCCCAGTAACCAGCATTTTCGCGCAGGAAGAGAATCATTTCTAAAGTAATGGGCTGCAGTCCATGGCGTTCTTGGCCAAACGTGGTACGAGCAACGCTAAAAACGCGCTCCACCACGTTGGACGTCGCAGGGATTGCATGCAAGAGCTTGTACTTGGTCTCCTTCGCGGCAAGTCGGCGTCTCTTTTGAAGCAGCTGGACGAGCGAACTATCGCCGTCGTCCTCGTCTTCACTCACTGCAGGAGGGCCTGTCGACTTGAACGGAGTCAACACTGTTTTTTCAGCTCGCGTGAGGCGGGCTGCATTGCCGCCTAAGACCCGTACACACCCTGACTCAAAGTCAGGGCTGTGAACAATTTCAGCGCGTGGGCCTAGTGTTCATAGTGAATACATAACAAATTAGCAATGGATACTAAAAAAGGAAAAAATATGCTGCACGTACCAATGTACCGAGCGTAGTGTGGTTTGATGGAAAGCAAGCCATCCAGCCACACTCGAGCATCAAGTAGTGATACTTCGTTTCCCTGCAAAGCTTTTGCAACGGACTCGACCTTCTGCAAGTCTGCTAGCAGAGCACGCAAACGGCGGTTGTACGAAGGGGACGGCAGCAAATCTGCGATGTCGTCGTCATTGCTGTCGATAAACTCCAGCAGTGTGAAGTACCGCATCACCATAGCGAAAGTGGAGCTCCATCGAGTATTTTGGCGGATAACTGGACGGAGCGGCGTTATAGTTCTACATTCAAAATAGAAACCCAATTAGAAACGTTTCTAACTACATTATTATCAGCTCAAACTTACCTCAGCTTGGCACTTTGCTTCAGGTTACGAAGCTTGATCATTAACTTCTGGACAGCATCCAGCTCGTCCTCATAGTCTTGCATGTCAGCTTGCACTGCTCGGTTAAGGCGGTGGCTGGCACAGCCGATCAGCGGCACACCCATCAGCGTTGCGAGCCGCCGGTTAACCGAGCAGTTGTCTCCCACCAGGAAACAGCAATGGCCCAGCTGCTTGCCGTAGTCCCGAGGCAGCATAGTGGCAAGAAACTCCATGTGGCCGCGGGCGGAGAGGTCTTCCTCCTCCTCGTTGAGCAGTGGAGCCATACAAAGAAGAGGAGTCTTGACGACCCCGTCCACCTCGTAGCGAGCGTACACTGCAATGTAGTGCTCTGAAGCATGAGACCACCCATCAAAGATTAGCCCAAAAAGGTCAGGCAACACGGCCCGCGTCACACTACTCATGCCAGAGACGAGCGTCTCGACACAAATCGAGTCAAGGTTAGAGTACCTATAGAAAGCAAATAGAAACAGAAGTTAGAAATTCATAGGCAACTTTAGAAATGCGTATGACTTACCTTTTGGCCGCCTCATTCTCACAGAATGACAGCGGAAGATTGCTCTTTAGGATCCACTCCATCCAGCTAAATAGATTGAGAGAAGAGCGTCGCACGTAGTTGAGGATAGACCCCGTCTCGGCCGAGCTGGCGGCGAGCATGAGGCTCTCATGGGTTGGGTGCTCGCTTCGAACGTGCGATACCAGGTTGGAAAGCCATTGCGGCTAGCCTGCTTTCGAACCGTGCCGCAACGACAGCGGTAGTACTCGAGGTTGACTTCATCGAACTCGTCGCGGCACGGTTGAAAGAAGAACGCAGCAATTTGTGCTGGCGTGAACGTGGAGCGCACACTGTGTCGAGACTAGAAGACCATGGTAACGGGAGTGTCGGCGTGGGAGGTGAGAGAAAAGAAAATGAGTCTGCTGAGATCAGCCGATTCGGCAACAAAACGACTGGTTCGTGGCGATCGATTGACTGCTGCAGATAACTTCAGGAAACTGTACGCATAAATTTCCGTATGTAATATGCAGCCACCATAAATTATGCACGAGCGTGACAACATAAATAATGTCTGCTTATTTATTGAAATTACTGTGTCGTCAATTTTTTTTAGGGGCCCTGGTTTTGGTTCGTTTTCCAGGCCGGATGCGAGCCATCGAGCAAATTCCGTAATGGGCTGTGGGCCTTTCCCGCGTATCCCATCTTTTCCGCGCGTCCCTGATCCCTGGCTCGTTTTTGGATTTTTCTCATTTACCGGTTGAACTTTATCGATTTCAAATGACTTGATTAAAGTAAAGGATTTCCATTTTTGAGCCATTTTCTAATGTTATTCCAATTATGTCGTAAGTTACCACATAAAAAAAGAGTCATGTCATGTTACGACGTCGGGAACCAAGGAGTACATGTACCAGAGCGCATGAAGGATGCAAGGCGAATTGAGAATACCTACAGTTCCGTGCGCTGTCGCACTAGTGGAACATACGACACACCCATGAGCTCACGCCTGGTGAAAGTTTCTTTATCTGTGCGTTGGATCTCCATCAGCACTTGACTCGCCCCCTGTTCGCCCACAGGCACCACTAGCCTCCCTCCCACCGCCAACTGCTCCATCAGTGCTTGTGGTGGCTCAACCGCAGCCGCCCCAACATGAATAAAGCAGTCCCGTCCATCCATCTGCACCTGCCATAACCATATAAAAATAATAATGTATAAACCTTCTTTCCAGTTTTATTTAAGGACGCAACGTACGCTCGACCGAGACGATGCGTCGGTGCACCAGGTCTCCGTCGGCTCGTTCAATATTCTGTTGCGCCAATTGCGCTAATTGAGGGATGCGTTCAATACCAAAGATCTTCCCTCCTTCATCCACGAGGTGGCCTAGACATGCTGTCAGATATCCCGATCCTGCGCCAACATCCAGGACTCGAGGGTATTCGATGTTGTGCAAGGCTACATCCGCCAACTCCAGGGCATACGCGTGCATATGTGGCGCTGATATTGTCTGTTCGTAGCCGAGTCTCTGAGGGCCTCGCCTCAGTGAGGCGCGTCCTCATAGGCCTGGGCGGGTGAGACTGGACAGCTAGAACGATCGGAGTCGTCACTCTGTCCTGGCGGCGCAACGTACTGTGCACGGTCTGTGGCCTTCATTGCGCGGATCACACTCTGCGACTGTACGATCCCAGCGCGCGCTAGGTTGTCCACCAGTCCGTCGTTAGATAGAGCGCTACAGCGCCACGCCATAACAGCAAGAAGGTCCTCGTTATCAGATACAAACAATTTAGGTAAAGCTACAGCCAAGAACCTTACTTAAATTTATTTAGCAAATGATTGGTTGAGAAACTTAACATTTAAGGTCTCTGCTTAACTTTCACATTCACAACATTGGTGCAGAGTCACTTGCGATAGTCATGGGGAAGAACAAGCTCAAGCAGCAGCTCAAGCGCCAGCAGCGCGATGTCTTCCCATCAACATCTACATCATCTTTCACTGCTGCTACCGAAAATTCACGGTCGAAGAAGAAGCAGAAGACCGAGAAATCGACTGGACAGACCGAGACCGAAGTAGAGATTGACACGCTGAGCTTCGACGACGCGTTCTCGGCCGGTTTGGCCTTCGAGCAGCTTGAATCATACGACGGCGCCTTGGCAGCGCTCCAGCAAGCTGTAAAGTGCCAGCCAACGCACGTGGGGGCTCTTACGCACCTCGCAGACGTCTATTCTGCTGCCGGACAGTCGGACGAAGCACTCAAGTGTTACGTCCAAGCTAGCGAGCTGGGAGACGGTAAGAACGACGCGTCAGTCTGGTTCCGATTGGGTTTGGCCCATGCGGCATTGGACCAGCAACTTAAAGCGACAAAAGCATACAGAACGTCCATGAAAATTACTGCTACAGCACTGGAATCCTCAAAAGCCGATGAGGACATTGAGGAGCTCAAGAAAGCATACAACGTCACGCTGGCGGCACTTGCCGAAGCGTTCGGTGAGCTTGGCGATCTGGACGCCGCAGTTGCGGTGTTTGAAGATGCTGCCGCTAAGTTCCCGGACAACGCGAACATGCATTACAATCTGGCCAATATGCGCATGGCAAGGAGTGGCAGCTCAGGAGACAGGACGTTGGATAAGCAGGTGGTGCGGAGCTTGGAGCGAGCTATTGAACTCAGCCCCCGATACACGCGAGTTCATTGAAGATCTGGCTGGATACTTGGAGCAACATAACCAGCAGCCAGATCGAGTTCGTGAGCTCAAGACAAAGGCTGAAGAGCTCCAGAAATCCGAGAGTGATGAACAAAATAATGAGGAAGATAGTGAAGAGGAAGAAGAGAACGAAGACGAGAGTGACCAATAAGATGGATGAGTGCTGGTTAACAGAATAGATTTATAAAAATAAAATTGACGTTAGTGAACTGGTAGTGTTTTATCTTTTCATCATCCAAGGTTTCGTACTTTAGACGACGTAGTGTCCAACCAGTAAGCACCCACTTACTGTCAAGCAATAAGTTCATTGCGACGTTGTAGTCCTCGTCAGAGTTGTCAAAGAGGGACAGTAAAGTGCGTAGATCTTCACGAAGTACATGCGATTCAAGTGCCTCGCGCGAACTTAAACCCTTAAAGGTGCGAATTTCACAGCGACATCACACACGCGTAAAGCATGTTGCGTAGTGGCCACGTCGTGTTCAGATTTGACCACACGTTGAGAGAGACAAACATAAGTACAGCTCAGTCCGCACGTGTTTCCGGTACTATTGCATGTAAAGAGACTTGTTGTACTTGACTATATTAAAAGGTCCTGGGCGGTACCAAGAATTGCAGTAAATAGCGATATCCTACTCCCTAAAAACTGAAGCAAGTCTAGTGTGTTTAATATCTATTTTTGTGGAATATTCAGGATAGAAATTCCCTCAGGTAAGAAGAATAACTTGTGCTATGGGGTCGTTTGTACCGTAAAAAAAAGAAAATGTCTTGTTGGCAATTCCTTTCATTTGAGTGCCTTCGTATCGACGAGAACAACAGCTCAACGGCAAGCCTTCTACCTTACCCTGCGTGGCACCTTCTGTCTACGACGCATGTCTTAGATCATGCCAATTCCCGTACTCCTCAAAAAACCTCAACCTATGCCGTTGGTCTCCATGGCAGTCCCACCCAGCTTGAAGTAGGTTTTGCTGGCGTCGTAACCATTTGATTCCAGAGTCTCGAAAGTGCTCTTTCGTTTGGCCGGGTCGAGCAAGACCTCCAGCAGTTTCGTATTCGAAGCATTCTTGAGGTCAAAACCAAGAAGTTTCGTTAAGAATCCCCGATCTTCCACAGCAGCAGGATCGAATGCGTTAGTTGTCACTATCAACGAACAGCAAGTTGGTGCCCACCTCAGTCGCACTAATGGTCTTGCTTCCAACAAGCGCTACCAGCGGAGCAAGGAGGAGGTTAGCATAAGGACGACGGAAACGCTCAAGGTGCTTGGTCGGCTGGAGGTTAAATATGAAGTGCCCGTTAGTCCACCAAGCAGTAGAAAAATCATTCCAGTAATGCTTAGGTTTCCGTTACTGTAATTAGTAAGAACGGGTTGATTTTGACGATAAGCTGTATATAAAAGTCTTAGGATGTGCATTTATGACATAATCAGTAATCCACATCCTGACCTTGAGCATCGAGCATACCGTAAGGACTCAGTAGAATTTTTCTCAGTTCATCGCCCGTTCGGACGTTGGAGTACGATACCGGTACCAGGAGCAAATGCACCGGGAGTGGGGGTTGGGACAAAAGTGATAATCGCCGAGCTTACTATATACTTTTAATATTTATTTTATTTATACTATTTGGTGGGTATCCATGGAAAGTACGCTAGTCGGAAAGTACCAGGAAGCAGATTTTTTGCACAATGCTGGGCAATATCTTGCTTCACATAAACGCGCGCTCATAATGTGTTGGAAATGTAGAATCGAATGACTTGGATTGAACGCGTGCCAGACGCGTTTCGGCCCCCGCCGGGGCCTCGTCAGTGGCTTTACCAATCTCGAAGTGAGAACTAACCAACCATCCGCTAGCTAAGACCTATCACTATGCCTAGATCCTTCTAGAACCTTCCATATGCCGTAACATAGGATACTACTCTGGAGTCAGCACATCTTGCACTTCCAGCATAATGATCATGTCCGTAGCTAATAGTGTACCGGTACTAAACACCGAACGGACAACAAACTGCACTGTAGCCCTGTGGCTGGACGTGCCAAGTTGCCACTTATGCATTTAAAAGGGTTAACCCTTTAAGACCTGAGGTCGTCTTAGAGTCCCTGCCAGGGCCTCCAAAAATGTAGCCAATAAGATTAGCGTATTTCGCAATTTCTACCAATGACTTATGGTCATTTGCTATAGTGGTATCTTTCTGGTCGAGTTAGAGTCCCAAACTGGGACTCTTAGAAAATAAAGAGACAGGGCACGACAGAAGGGACTGGCAAACGTTCTATAAATGTATATATAGCCAATCGTATGCTTACGTAAGAGGCCCCCTGAGGGACTTTAAGGCTTAGGTCCTAAAGGGTTAAGTCTTGGCTATCCATCAAAGATCGATTCAGCCTGGATTGTTATACGTTTCGTCGTGGCACTTAGCGTCGTTAGCCACTTCCTATCACTGTCAAGGAGCTGTACTACAACTCCTTGACAACTTGTAGCCCTTTTGCGGCATGCAAAACAACATGCAACAGCATGGCTACAGGAAAACGTACTAGATACAGTACATGTAGTACGTAGCAGCAATATATATCATTGGATCTGCTGGTAATTACGGGCACATTCAAATTCCTTATTGGGAAACCTCTTCTTGTGCTTTGCTTCAACTGGGTATGATTTACCGTAGAGTGCATGATAGCGAACATATCTAGGGTTGTAAGACTGCACGAACAAGTCAGGCGTCATTCTTCAATCTCATTCCACAATTTGCCTTGCATCGCAATAGTCTTCGCCCACGACGAAATAACAACCAGAAATCGCGAATGCGTCTGTCCTTCATCATCTTTGCCATCTCCCTTCTCGCAGGCGGTAGCGGAGCAGCTGAGGCCCTCCACCCTGCGTCGGATGTCTTGACATTGCGAGGTACAAACCAAGGCGCAAGCACCGGCAAGAGATCGTTGCGCTACGACAATAACGCGGAGCGCGCTGGCGAGGAGGACGATGAAGAAAGGGCTTTCCCAGGTGCAGAGGAGCTTTCTAGGCTCGCGAACCTAGCCCATACGAGCAAGGCTGATTCTCTTGGGACATCGCTGAAGAATTTTTTTAAGCAACTAGATAAAGCTAACGTCAACCCGTCCAACATTCATAAGTACGGCTTCTCAGGCGAAGAATTCGATCAACTCCGTAAACGGTTCGGAACGTGGTACAGACACTACAAGGACATTGAGTAGTGCGCTCGCGTTCTGCTACAATTCGTGAGTGCACAACCGCGTTCTGCCAGCTTGTAACCATCGAATAGAAGCACATCACCCAATTGGGGCTTCGTACCTTCATCATGTTTTCATGTACTTTTGATCAACCTTAGACTTCTAAGATCTTAAATGTTTTTTACTATAGCGGCGCATCGTTTGCAGGCCACCAGTAGTGGTTTCATGTGGGTGTTTGCTTTAATGCACGTCGTGAATAGAAACGTTACGGTCTGCAAGGCTCGCCTTGGCGTAATACTTAAGTAGTACTATAATGTAGTACCTCCGTGCGATAAATATGCACTTCCAAAAGGATTTTTGGAAGCGCTACGCCTCGTTCTTATTCGGGCTATAAGGTTTGCGCAGGGCTATTGTCCTTGATAGTAGTCGAGTGATGTTGGTCTGCTACGACAGACAAAAATACGTTTAGACTGCGAGTGTGCTTGTTCCACGTAGCTGCTGACGTTCTTGCTCCGCCGTTTTAGCTAGTTCTTGAGGCTTACTTCTGGGCGTCGGATTTCGACGCCGACAAATGCCAACACACACATGCACGAATGCCGCAGGGACGTCCAGCTTCTATATATGCTTCAACTTGCTTCCCAGCGCAGCAGGGCGCTATGCGCAAGGCGGTCTTTACGCTCCCACACAACGCTAAATCACAAGACTGGCAGGTCCTCCGCGCCTTCACTCACGCATGGGCAACGACTTCATAATGGGACGACATCTAAGCGCTAATACTGCTATTCGCCAGGCCTTCTCTTTTTTTATTAAGCAATCTCGTGCATTCCAGCGCGTACCAACACACCTTCCAATGCCAATAGAAATTGTTAGAATCGACGCAGCAAAGACTCCGATGCCCTGCCGGCTCACCTGGGCATGCCGCCCCCCCTCCTTGTCCATAAATACACACATTTGGCAGTGGGGGCTCTTCATTTGCCACCACAGGCGCTAGCGACGTCTCTTCTCTGCTTCTTCTGTCCTGCTATTGACCTTGTGAAGTAAGCGCAATGGGCGGGAGATTCGAACAGATAATAGTTTTGCAGTATCTTTAGAAATGGGCTCATGTGTATGTGCACGAGATTAGCACAATTAGAGGGATATTCAATTTACACGGACTGTAATATGATGGACAAGGTGCATTATCTCCATCATGTACTAAGTATATTTTTTGGTAAATAGAGATCTAAAAAAAAGTGTGGGGAAGTCAGAACTCGTTCGTATAATTTAAACAATGTCAAAACGCCAGATTTGTCCCGCAATCTAAAAAAAAAAGACGCAATGTAAAGGTTGGTTCGCAATCCTGACAGGGAGAGCAGCTGTCTATCGCTGTAAGCCTGTCACTGACAGTGTCACTATAATAGACACTGTCAGCGGTGCGTGGAGAGCAGAGCTAACCAATCCAGCAGAGGCGACTTGACGCGTAAATAAATGAATGAAACCTGGTTGCAGAGGTGTAGAAATTCTCTCTATGCTCCCTGACGGTCCGTTTTAGTTGATAATCACCCCTTTTGCCCTGTTTTATTCCTGAACAGAAAGGCTCAACAATTAGTGAGGTGTTTCCATGCTAAAGCGTGGACTGCAGTGGTGGCGCTGACGTATTATATTCATGTCAATTGTGCAGCCTCCAGTATGTTTTCTGTATGGCTGTAACAATGTTATGCAACGAATGAAAGAATTCTAATTATACAGCCCCCCCCCCAAAAAAAAAAAAAAACGTTTTTGTACACGAACAGACGATGTACTGTAGCGCACGAATATAATAACTAAGATTAAGATTATAAGATTAAAATTAAGCATACAACCGCATCGGCAGCAATTACCACCGACATAAGCATTCGCCCATTGACTGCAACATACCTTGAAACGCGCGGGAGTTGCTACCACCGCTAAAGGGACCGAGTCATTGACACACTCTTAGTAACAAGTGTACTTTTAGGTCGATCAGCAGAGCTACGAAGGGCTTCAACCTTTTTAGCTATAGGCCAAATTTCTATCTTACCATCGAAGTACTGCTTTTTGTGGAAATCGTATCGGTGTCACGCAGCTGCAGCCAAAAACATGTTTTACCGATGTAGCTTTTGTTCTGACATGACCGATATGGAAGGTACTCATTTACAGTCAGGTAATACTTCGTGGCACCTTTATAAACGTTAAACCACTTTTCATTGGTATGCACGGTGTCATACTGTACATGTGATGCATTCTTTACATCGTGGCACCTAAACGTCTTAAAACACAATATCTCTATTAATTTGAGAAAACAGAAAAAATTAAATAGTATACATTTTACTTAACGTAGCGGCAAGTCAACGTGACTTGAAGACGCTTGATCTTGTGGCTATCCGTAAGTGTAGGCTTTACACGAAAAGAAGCGCGGTGTAGTGTTCCGTCGGCAAGGTGGCACTGGCGTGTACTTCTTGGTATTCCGGTTGCAGCGGCGAGCGGGCGCTGAGTTTGACGTTGTATCTCAAAACGTGACTGAGTGCGTATAAGCCTCTGCCAACCATGAAATTAGTGGTCTGCATATAATTATAAAAATGAAAGCCAATGAAATTGAGTATTCGTTTAGGTGCGACTTATAAAAAAACCAATCGTCATATTGGAGAAGTACCAGTTAAAGTTGTCCAATCGTAAAGCATCTAGAAGCTTACAAACACTTTTCAAGCTCACCAAATAGTATCAGTAACATTGAAATGTTTTCATTCTATTCTCTGATATCCAGTAATCCCAATGGGTATCTCTATCCAATTACATTCTAAAATATCCTGTAATTGGTTTAGTCTATTAAATTGTAAAGGGATACAGAAGTGGCGATTCTTCAGACGAAAAACGCCGCCAAATTTATTAACCAGGTAAGCAAACAAAGAGACAAAGCCGTGGTGCCACCTAGAACAGCTTTGGATTTTACCTTCAAAGTTGTTCTTTTAACATGGATGGGATTTTGTTTATCAAAAATTAACTCCATCCATGGAAGAGGCTTCATTAATCGTCATAACTCGTGTCGAGACTTCGTAACTAGAAGAGGTAACGATAAAGTAGCGGCGTGTGATAGATCATAAATGAAATTGAAGTCTTTCAATTGCTCAGTAAGCTCACGTTTGCAGAGCCGACCGCTGTTTGATACTCGCTCAAGCGTCGACTCCAGTGATGTAGATGAGGTCACAAAGCACCCAGAAGGAGGGCAACAACGTCACACCACTGCCGCCGAGCAAGTCGATGCAGAGATGTCACCACCACCCGGCAGGAAAGGCTGTCGGTTTCAGTTCTATTATTTACGGTCCTTATCGCAGGCGTGAAGATACGAGATCTTGGGGCTAGCAGCCTCGCAAAAGTGAGAGCTAAAGACACGACGAAATGACAAATAACGATTTTGCTAGTTTCTGTTCTTTGTTTATATCCTAGAAAAAGGCGCTTGTAGGATAACTTTGAGGGTGTTATATTAATAGAGGCGTTTATGCTTTTATTATTTGATGCTAGTTTGCCATTCAAGGTAGCATCGTTTGGCTGCGTGTACAATACAATTGGCAGCGAGTCTAGAGCAATGGTGTCGTTTCATCCCTATGAAAACTGTTTTAAGATCCTGAGGTAGGATTTCTTGGAGCGATTGGGTTTGATCAGCCTGTTACTACCGCCCAAATCGAGCATCTGCAACGGGCCCATAAATTGGAGAATTATCGTCCTTAATTGATAGAAAATCAGATATTGCGATTTAGGCGTGGAGATGACCAAGATGAACAGAGGACCCATAACTTTCACAGTACCGTGAAGGCCAAAATAGATCAGCTCGTACTCCTGTTTTTTCAGTCTTCGTGCAGAACAGCAATGGCCATCTAGGAGCTGCTAAACGGTGATGGCTCTGCAGAATGGGAGCTCAAGAGCTCTGATGTGGAGGGGGGGGGTGCATGCGTGAGATAGCAACAGTAGACGACGACGCGTCGACGGGATCTTATAGTGAAGCAGCGTCTGTGGCTACGGAGGTCGTTCCTCTGTCCGAGTCGTCACCGCTCTTGATAACGAGCCTTTCATGTCGTCTAGGCTTGACCACGCCCGCCCTCACCATCATCGTCTTCGCCACCGAAGATCTAATGTCATTGGCGTCGCTGACGAAGCGTTTATATTCGTTGAAGATCCCTGTACGACTACCATGTCACAAGGCTTCGTAACGACTGCTTGCCTGCGGGTCGTCCGGCACAGTGCTGTGCTGGTCGTCGTCCAGTTCCGTATGTAGAACTCTATAAACACCCGTCCAGGCCACCACAAAGTAGCGGAACCTTCGTTTCTATATATTGACACCTAATCTATGTCGAACTTCTCCTAGCAGCTAACTGCGTAGTTCTCACAGCCCGACGCGTTCTTCGTTCGTCGTTCGAGTCGCCACCACTGTGCGTTCAATCCGTTGACAAGCTGGCCAGGTCCCACACAAAAAATCTCGCTCACTCCAAGACCCACAGATGTCCCGTAGTGGCGCTGTTCGTGCTCGCGCCGCCGTGAGCCTTCACCCGTCGACGTCTTGTTCGCCCAGTAACAGCTAATACAATGACGCGTCCGTCACTGCCTTCGTTTCTCGTTATTCGCTCGTCTTTCGTTTGTCTTTCGTTCGTCTTTTGGCACTCGTCTGTGCCACCCCGTCGCCCACCACAGCGTTCGTAGTCTTTCCACTTCGCTGCAGATTCCAGAGTGAGCGCTTGTGCGCCGTCCGCGTCCCCCATCATCTTCACCCGCTCAGCTTCTCCAACCACTATCGTCTGCCGCGCGAAGTCGGTGCCGCTCCTCATGGTCTGTCGTCAGCCCTCGTACTACTACATCCAGTGGTCAGGACCGCACACGGGCGTTCTTTCCAGACCGTACGATTCTTCATCTGTGCTCTGAACGGTACGGCAGCTAGCCGTTCGCTCACGGCTTTGGCTCGTCCGAGTCTGCCACGGCCCGCGTCGTCCTGTTTGTCGTCATCACTCGTCGTCGTTATCGACATCCTGTTCCAGCTTGTTCTCATTGCGGTTGAAGCTGTCAATGTATCACGCGATAGGTCCGTGGCACTCCACCGCGGCGCGAGTCTTGCCCGTACCAAAATCATTTATACGACGGCTGCAGGCATCATCATCTCGATCGCTCCCAAGCCATTAGTTTACCTCTGTCCCTGCGTCCCGTGTCGCGTATGACATTACAGCTACCGCCACACTTCAACCACTACTCATAGCGGCAAGATGCTTGGGCCTGCCAGTGTAGCTATACGGCCGGGTGTGCCTTGTGATTAAAAATATTGTCTTCAAATCGTGGTGTGGAGCACAAAATAAAAATGCTAGGCCGCATCGAAAGCCATGGACAAAGCCCTGTACTTGCAAACCGTTGCTAAATCCATTCACTTAATTATGTGTTCTTATGAAAAAGTAGTTTTTATGCCATAGTTGAATCGACAGCATCAATAACAGAAATGGACTGTAATATACTTAAGGTCCGGCATTCCAGAAGTGTAGCGGGCCAAGTATTTACTGCTTACACTAAAGGGTTGGGGGGCTCGCAATAGGACGACGGAGTCTTAGGTTTAAAGAAAAATCATATCTGACTTTATTTTAGGACCAAGACAACAGCCCTGGCCACTTAAATACACGTCGTCGTCAAACTGACTAATAAAGGGTCTGGTTCCCCATATATCTGCCAATGGCATGACAGTATTCAGCACACGCCGATGCACCTACTCATGTAAAGAAATCTACCTACTTATGTAATGGAGGGACCCACTACATTACCCCCTCTTAAAGTTGCACTTGCGCAACAAAAGCAGTGGGCGAAGAACAAATCAGTCTGCGTGAGGATGGCAAACGGACAATTGGCGGGCGGATCGAAACGGAGACGGAGACATCTCCTGTGAAGCGCAGGAGCGACACAGCTCAGCTTGCGGGGAACTTGACAAGCAACACGATGGATCAGCAGCGGACGGGTACACCGACGACGGCGACGTCGTCGACAGCAGCGGCGCGCGCGTGATGAACGACCAACTCCGGTCATGGGCTCTCTACGATGTATCCGGAGCGCGATCTCACGACACAGTGGACACGACGAAGGATCACTTCCGGCGCTTCCGCGGGCTGCGACAGAAGCCTGTCGTGGGTGTAATATATGGCGCGTTGCAGGAGTCGTGTTGCAGTTTCATCCGGCACTGGAACATGACGCAAGAAGAAGGGGAAAGCTTTCGGCTGGCTGGTGTACCGCAAAGAGATCGTCAAGGAGCTCTCGCGCACGGAGCTTAGTGGGCGAGTCTGCCCCAGCACAGGGGAGGTCATGCGCCGCAACTGCTACGTGAGGGCTGCTGAAGGTTGCAGTAACTGTACTGGGTCGCGTCCGACTGTCGAGGAGTGGAGAAGTCACATCGCCGAGTATCCGCTCGATGAACAAGAACACGGGTCGATCGAAAAGTATCGTCGCTCGTTGGTCGAGAAGGTACGCTCTTCTAGTCGCGCCCGCTCACGCCGACGCTCTGCACGCGAAGATTCTTGGCATCAGACTCGGTCTCGTTCGCGTGGTCGTCCAATTCGTCGGTCTCGATCATGCTCACGTGGTCACTTGAGGCGTTTTCCTCGTGTGAGCCGGCATGCGTCACATGGTGGCTCGCAGCGAGCTTGGACTCGTACGCCTGGACCAGATTCGGGACGTCACGAAGAAGATTGGCACGAGGCTCCCACGTATCCTCGTCGGGAGAAAACCCTAGCCATCGTACCCGATAGCACCGGTCGCCCACGATGAGGCCCGGGAGCGCGAAGTGGATCTTCGTGGGCAACGATGTGCTCAACAATCCAGCGGGTATCTCCGGTAGTGTTAACAACAGGAGGAGTGCCGTCGCGTCGATAACACTCGCGTTATGGTTGCCCAGAACGCGAAAGACTTGTTTAACCGCTACTGGGATGTCCAGCAGGGGTTAAATGAGGCTCACGAGTCGACCGTCCGGACCACCGGGGAGATTGCGCAGCTGCGTCAGTCGAACCGGGAGGTCCTATCTCAGTTGCAGATGCTGGGGCGGTCGGATCACGGTCGTTTACAGACGGGGAGACAGCCTCGGGATCCGACTCCTGGTGCGGATGGATCGATGGCTCGCCGCGCCCGTCGAGAAGGTCGCTCAACGCATGCTACGGCTCAGTTGAGTGAGCCGACTCTGGGATCGTAGCCGGATGATATTTCTTGAGTCGTCCGACGTAAAACGTCGGATGCAGACGTAATGACGTAGGAATGTACAGAGTGTAAGCATCGCCAATGGCCTTGATTACAGTAAAGAGTCCAGTAAAGCGCGGGCGAGTTTGCTCGCGCCGACGTTGGTAACAGCAGCGTTTCGGATACCTTCCGTCGACAGAAGCACTCGTTCGCGTTATGTAAACGTGGACGTGTTCTTACGGCCAGACTTATCGGCGCTCTACTTCTGCTTGTCCACTGCGTTCTTTAGTGCATCACAAACTTAGCGGGTGACCGCTTGGCGCTGTAGTACAAAGTCGGAGACGATTGCGGAGTCGATTGGTCGCGCCGCATGCTTCGGCGCGTCGTTAGCCGGAGCAAGTGGGCTCGATGCGGAACGTGGCACTGCGTTGACCGACGTAGGAGCTGGGAATACACTCGAGATATCATTAGCAACCGGTGTATGTACCGGTTGTTGGCGCCGAATACATCGGAGCTGGAGTAGACGGCTTGTCGGCAGTTTTTTCCCCACCCAGAGTGGAGACACACGACGCTGTGGGATGGCCCACGGCGAAGAGAGCACGCCGGTGTCGCGCCCTCTTAATGAAGAAGGGCGTCAGCCCAGTCGACGCGTGTACAGCGTTGCTCAGTGCAAACTCGGCCAGAGGCAGAGATGAGCTCCAGCTGGCGAACGACGTCGCGTAGCTTTGAATAACGTCTTCTATGACGCAATTTACGCGCTCCCTCTCGCCGTCCGTTTCCGGATGGGCTGCTGTGGACATCAACAGCTTCAAGCCCAGCAGCTCGAAGATCTTTGACCAGAAGACCGACGTGAAGCGCGGGTCGCGGTCGGAGACGATGAATTCAGGAAGGCCACGATGACGGAAGACCGCATCGATGAAGTGCATCGCGGTATCTGCCGCGGTGATCGAATTCAAGGCGGAACCAGGTGGGCCATCTTGCTGAAGCAGTCTACGAATACCAAGCCACCTGGACGTCCTTTAGCATCAGGTGGGAGCCCAAAGATGAAGTCCATTGACACCGAGCGCCAGGCCCCAGTGGTCACCGGTGGAGGACGCAGGGGCCTGCGAAGACGAGGCAGGCTTCACGCGCTGGCAGATCTCGCAGGTGCGCACCCAGTTACGTATCCATTTATACAATTGGGGCCAGTAAACGTTGCGTAACACAGTGGCAAACGTCTTCTCGCGGCCGGGATGAGCACCCAGTGGGGCATCATGAAACGCATGAATAATTCGTGAGTGCCGATGGGGGTCATTCGGGACAAAGATATGTGGGGCATCGAGGTCATCGATGCCGTACGTCAGCAGCTCGTCCTCGAGACGCTATCGGTGGATTTTGTTTCTTACAGAGCGGGAAAGGGTTCCCAGTGTGTCGGCGCTGGGAGAGCGGAGGTTCTCCGGGACACTGGGGTACGTCAAGTCATGCTCATAAGCAGCTCGGATTTCGTCGCGAAGTGGCATTACCGGGGAGACGCTCGTCAGGTTGACTCCTGACGCCTTGCACGTGGCACACGCGTCTAGATCGTCTTCATCGAACGAAGCTTGTCGACCCAATGCACCGCGTGGGTCGTAGTCGGGACGTCGTGACAAAGCGTCGACGAGAATGTTGTTCTTGTCGGCCTTGTAATGGACCAAGAAGGTGTACTCAGAGAAGACTGAAAGCAGCGGGCCGTCCGCTGGGAATGATGAGGACTCTTCATCGCTGTCCTCAGCGATGCATGGTCGGTGTACACCGCTAATGTATCCTCATCCAATAAGTACACTCTGAACTTGATCAGAGCGTAGCGCATCGCAACGAGCGCCTTGTCGTGAACAGGGTAGTTGCGCTCCGCCGGCGTCATCTCTCTTGACTGGTAGCTTACGCCACGCTCTCGACCTTCATCATCGAATTGCGTCAGCGCACAGCCGATGGAGAAATCGCTCGCGTCGCCGGCGACGTGAAAAGGCTTCGAGTCATCCGGGAGCGCGAGGATTAGGGTCTCGGCGAGCCTCTTCTTCACCGAGTCGAAGGCGGCTTGATGTGCGGAAGTCCACGACCACGACACATCTTTTTTCAGCAGCGAAGCGAGTGGATGGATCAATCCGTCGTAATTCTTCGTGTGCTTGTGGAAATAATTTGCAAGACCCAGCCACTGACACAATTCAGTGGGATTCGGTGGCGTAAGCCACGCTCATATCGCTGATACTTTCTCGGGGTCGGCGCGGACGCCGTTCTTGCTCACAAAGCAGCCAAGCACCGGAATCTCCGGCGCGCAGAATATGCACTTCGTCAAGTTGGCATACAGCTTGTTCTCGCGCATTACTTGGAGAACTTGCCTCTATGCTTCAAGTGGACTTCAAGCGCGCTTAGGCCTCCCTCAGCGCGACTTTGTACGAAGATGTTGTCGAAGTAACTCGGTGCAAAATCACGGAGCGGGCGCAGCACATGGGATACCATGTGATTGAACGTGGCGGGAGCACTCTTCAAGCCTTGTGGTGTAACAAGCCGCTCCCAGAGCATACCACTGGGAGTGCTAACCACTGTGAGCGGTATGTCGCTCAGCCTCATGAGGGTTTGGCAGAGCTCATCGGTCAAGCCGATAGCACTAAAGGCCCCACTACCCGACATCGCGTCGATGCGCCACCCACCCGTGGCTTTTTTCACACAGAAGGTCAGCTTGGAGTGCGGCGATATGCTATCGCGCACATGATTCGCCTTGCGGTGGCTCTCGACGAAGTCATTGATAGCTTGGACCTGATTTCGCGGGAGCGGTCACTGCCGCGTCACACAATACTTCAAGCCGGGCACGAGATCGATCTTGCGGCAAATTCCTCGGTCCGCCTATAACTCAGCTGTGATCTTATCCGGAAAGACATCTTCATATTCGCGGGCGGACTCGTAGACTGGATTGCCGTATTCCCTTACGGTTCCCAAGATTGCGCTGCGAAGCGCTCCTCGCGGGCCGACTTCGGTTTGGCGCTCTTTAAGCGCGAGGGAGCGTCGCCGTCACTGACTGCATTCACTTCCATCGACGCCGAATCAGCGTCGGTGATTAGGTAGTCTGTTCGATTTCATCGTCCTTGAGGCCGCGAAGGAAGTTTTTCCAGGAGATACCTGGAAGTCAAGTGGTCGACTGCGCCTCTCGAGGTGAATTTACAAGCTCGAGCGCTCGTCGGCGACCGATGGTATCTGCCGCATACTCCATCACGCAGACCGACTCTGTCAGTGAGCTGTCACTTGGTACGGGCTCTCTGCGAGAATTTATCCGACGCCGCTTCGACTTCCGTTTTCGCCGCCTCCAGAGCGAGCTCGAGGAGGATGAGTCGTTATCGCTGGACGAGATGTCACCCCCCCCTTTAGCGGGAGCGCCAACTGCTCGACCACCGGCTCAATTGGCGGGAGCCCCTGCTAGACAGCCATCGCGTTCGTCTGCGGGAGCCCCTGCTCGACCGCCATCTCGTACATCTGCAGGAGCCCCTGCTCGACCGCCATCTCGTACATCTGCAGGAGCCCCTGCTCGACCGCCTGTTGGTCTCCATCCCCGCGTTGCCGTGGCCATTCGTCAGCTAACAGCACTGCGCAAGCCGTGCCGAAAGGGCCATCGCTCACTCTGTGCACAACGTGGGTCGTGGATGAACGGTCCACGACGGAGACGTGAGACCACACCTTCTGGGCGATTAGGAGGTGCGTGAACACCTTTCTCACGTCATAATCACTGCGACGCGTGACCAACCGGGTCAACCACTCAATCTCTGGTTGATAGCGCGTCAATCACGGCATACCTAGGATGCCGTCAAACGTGTAATTCATCACAATGACGAGTA